CCATGCAACCAGTGCAGCGCACGATTCGCGCGGAGGTACGGCCCAGCCATCGCGATCCTGCTCAGCTTCATAACCCAGCAGCCAGTACTTTGCTAGCATTCCAGATCAATTTTTGCTGACAACAATGATAGCGATTTGAGGAAACGACATGTAGAGAACTGCCATGTCTCCTCCCAAGCTTCACCACCCAAGACGGCACCTCCTCCTCCAGCCATTAATACACCACATATCGACTCACCCAGCACGACCGCTTGGATGGACGTCTTATTGACACACCCACCGCCAGCTCAGAATGAAGTAGCAGAGCCAATGCAGCAGCACACCCAGACCTATGAGCCTCCATCTTCAGGGTAAGTTTGCGAACAGCTCAAGCTTCGTCTGGCGCTAACGCTACGCCCACAGAGTATCCAGCGAGATTCGATGCGTCGAGGCTTTCTTCGATGGGTTCCACCGGAACTTTCCCATTCTACACGAGGGATCATTCCATATCGTATCGACACAAGTTCCTTTGTTGAACGTAATCACCGCTGTCGGAAGCCTCTACTGCGAGTCTCCGTTCGACGAGGCCGCTCGGAAGGCCGTGTTCGAGTCGACTCTATCTGCACTACAACAATATGTTAGTATACCAGACTGCTGTTACCCTCTAAACCGAGCTGATAGAATGCACAGGTCGAGCAGAACCGATCACGATACCAAGAAATATGGGTTCTTCAAACTTTCCTCCTCCTTGAGTTCCTCGGCATCTACGGCGGCAACGACACGAATTTCCTCAAAGCTCAGCGCATTCACCGGGACCTAATTGACGCGATACGGCTTCTCCAGATGTCCCAAGACAGTTCCCTAGAGTCTCTGTCTACCAGCTGTGGTGAAGACAGTGGATATGGCGAGGAGGGCGACGAAGACGATATCAACGAACCGGTCAGCGCCGAAGCGCTCAGTGATCAATGGCAGGACTTCATCAAGAAGGAATCCAAGAAACGATGTGTCTACATGCTCTACCTTCTCGATTCGCAACTCGCCATCCTCTGCAACCTCAGACCCATGCTCTCATCGCTCGAGATCAAGTACGATTTGCCCTGTTGCGAGGATATCTGGCTCGCCCGCTCCGACAGAGATTGGTACGAGCGCCGCCGGCAACGATTCAAATCCTTTGACGAGCCCGACGACAATGCCTATTCACACGAGACACCCCCGTCGCAAGGCTTCTTCTATGAAGCTTCGCAGACGCTCCTGCATTCAGGGCGCGGGGACGACAAGGACAATGGCGGAGGGAAACGGCAGCCCAAGAAACTCAGGCTTCTATGGGCTTCGCCTTTTGCCGCCGTTATCCTTGTCACTCAGCTCCAGATGATGGCCCGCGAACTCACGCATGCTAGTTGTCTACTGGAACGGCCCAAAGCACAGCGCCGAGCCCTTTCCATCTTGACAGACAAGCAGCACGCGCAGATATCGCAGGCACTGAAAGGGATTGCCGAGCTGGTACCGCGTAACCAGAAGCCCGTCTTCAGTTTCTTTGACTTTGGGCGCATGGACGTCCTCCCAGACGGCTCGGATCAGACTCCGCTGTGGCACACGTTTTGGATACTATGGTACTACACGTCCATAACTCTATCGCACCCGGACTCGCTCTTGGTGAGCGGTGTTGTTGAGTCTAACCTTCCTCTGGCGATAGCTAGTAAGTTTCGTTTCTGCAGTTGATCCATGATATGTGATTAACTTTGGGTAGCCGCCGGCCACCTTGCAACACCACGCTCCAAGGACAAGCGAGACATTTACGAAGACAGGGATGTTTTTAGAATAGTAGGAGACATTATACCCATTTTTCATGCTGCGCGTTTACTCACAATGGTTCCCCTTGCAGCTCAACGATCTCGAAATGGCCCTCGATCTGTTAAACCCGATAAAATCGACCGCACCGCCTTCTCTCGAAAACCCCTTCATCACACTGCTCGGCTTCAAGATCTGCCTCGTAGGCTGGCGCCTCGTACGCCTCACAATGCCCGCGGCTCAGCGTAGCAGCGTCGGCGATATGACTGGGCATGGTGGGATGGGTATGGGACTGGGCATGGGAATGGGGAACAATGCCAACAGCCGCTCTAACCCCAGTCGCTTTGTTCTGGATGCCATCATGGCCTGTGTCGGGAATGCCGGAGACGATGATGTCGAAAATGCGGCGGCTGCGCTGGCTATGTTGGATGACAGGCCTGTTGAACTTGCACGGAGTGAGGTGCGGTTCCTGGAATGGATCGTTGCCAACTTCAACAAGCGCACGACTTGGCCGGTTGGGAAGTGGGTGTCTACGGTTATGGAGGAGAGCCTTTCCAAGGCGAAGGAAGCGTATGCAGCACCACTTAGTGAATGAAGTAATTAGCTTGATGCCGTCAACGCTTTATGTAGCAGAAACCGGAAGAATATTGGCTCCAACCTATTTCGCTTGTCGATGCTCGATCCTCGGCATCGAATAAGTTACTAAGCGATGAATTTGACTTCGCATATCATCTGACCTGATTGAAGCAGGCGTACCTTTTCCTTGGGAGGATCAGACTGCGATAATTTCAGCACAGAGACCTATTGATAGTCATACAAGGAATCATTCTTACTTCCACTCATCTATTGAGGTTTGAAATCACGTTCGACTGGCCAGTATGCTTAGGGAAGTAACCTGAGCGCGGAATCTCCAGACTTCAAGTTACGGACCACGATCCGCGTACCCCTGCGCAACATCATTAAGAACTTCATCACGCGAGATCCTAGAGTTTTGGATAATCATTCATTTCAATTCAGTGCAAGAATGTGCGCCAACCCATTTACAAAAAAAGCTCAAGACACTATACAGCCCATCTCCTAACAACAACGCTCAACATCATCCTTCAAGCAGTGCCAGTCTTGACAGTAGGCAAGCTATACTGCAGACGCGGGACATTATCAAACTTTCCAAGCGACTTGTGGCCCTCGGGGTCGGTGTACTCGCCATCAAAGGGGTCCTGGTGAACACCCTCCTCACGAGGGCGGTCAATGTCAAAGTCATAGCGCTTCCATCCGTGCTTTCTCGCGTCAAGGTAATCGGCCATGCAGAAGATGCGCTCGTCGATGGGCTTGTCGGTGCCCATGCGCTGAAGGAGAGGCGAGTCCTCGATGGGAACGAGCTCGCGCTCGTCGGCGGGGCGGGAGAAGTAGATTACGCCGATACGGCGGAGGTGGCGCTGGTCCATGGGCGGCTCTGTTTTGCTTGTATTAGCTTTGGAACATTGAATAGTGTGTTTGCGGTGTTTTCTTACGGATGACTCTGTGGATTGTAGCCTTGAAGAGGCCGCCGGTGAGGCGCTCGAGGGCCTCGCCAAAGTTGACAACGATTCCGTGCGGAACGTGACGGACGTGACGGTATCTGCCAGTCTCGTGGCAAAGAACTTGCAGTGCGGCGACGGGCTGGGAGAAAAGGAATGTCCAAGTGCCCCTAGACATGGTATTAGGGATGCTTTCCATCAGATGGGGCGATAATGGGTACAGCTTACCAATCGGTGTGTCCAGCAAGGAAGATATCACGGTATTTTTCACTCTCCTCCTTTGATCGAGGTTCGCACATCATATATCTCAGGTATTCCGTCTTGGATCCACCAGGGGCGTGTGTGGAGAGGACCTTCTCCTCGGGAACTTCAAGAACCATGGACACAAGCTTCAGCAGCTTGACCAAGATGTTGGTTCGAATGTAGCTCATGACCTCGTACGTCTCATCCATGAACGGGCGGATGATCTCGGGATGGGGGCGGTCCTTGCTAGTGACGGGTCAGTACATGTACACAGTCTAGCTTCTCGACGTGCAGGAAATCACTGACGGATCATGGACAAGCATGTTGTAGTGGTCCAGGGCCTTGGGGAAGCCACCCTTGTGACCAAGGGGCCCTGCAGGCTTGTATCCGGCGTAAAGTCCACGAGCATCTTCTTCGGGAGTTACTTTGATCGAGATTAGCATGGTTCTTTAGGGACGGTGGTGGTGGAGTATGTACCTTCATAGGGAGCCTTCTCTTCAGGCTTGAGCGTCATGGCCGCATTGGCGATGCGCATTTGGCGTTCGTAGGTCTCATTGGAGATGCCGTGGTTTGTCAGGTAAAGGAAGCCATAGCCGGTAGCGGCCTCGTAGAGGTCTTTGGCGAGCTGTTGGCGGCCCTCAGGAGTATCGAATTTTGAAAGATCAATGTTGACAAGGTCGACGTAGTCAACTATGCCGGGACAGGTCAGCTCATGCTCTTACATGCATTGGTTGGGCGCAACATACGGTCCTCTTGTGTTGGCGGGGGCGGGCTGTACGGCGGGAGTTGGTTGATGTCAGCGACCATGTTGGGCAATTTCCAGTTGGTCTTAAAGTTATGCAAAGCGTTGAAGGAATGGAGACCGATATTATTGGGTCTTTTTAGTTCTGTTTGCTGGATGTTGTTGTTGTTGGAGTATACTTGGACTAAACTCAGTTGAAATTGAGGATATTATATGAACCCAACTCTTGTCCCTGTCTGCCAGACCAACCAAACATTGACAAAGATGTTGACAGTAAGATACGTTCCAAATGAGCTGGGAGGACGTGGAACGATGCTCCGCGGGATGTTCGTCCACAGACACCACCCTCCATGTCCTCAAACTCGATGCTCAACCAGACGTGGAGCTTGTGGCGGCATTGACAATCCTACCTAGCTGACGGGTCATGTCAACTAAGACAAAATCAAGAGGAGCTGCCCCAGAGATTGCCGATCACTTGCAGTAGCTCCGTCCGCATCGCTCGCGGTTTACGAGGCAGTGGAGGAAGTGGACGTGGAGCTCCTCCCACGTAGCGCGGGGAAGAGGAGCTCCACGCAGGGATTCAACGTGGCGTCGGAATAGTGTTGCATCACACGACTCAGTCAAGAGAGGCCAATGATAAACTGTCATACAACATACTCGTTGTCTCGGATGCCTTTCGTAGCCCGGGATTTGTCGTCAACTTCCTGGAGTAGACTCAAGGTAACATACTCTCAGTATATCGACTGGTCCCACGGAAAAGCGGCGGGCATGGAGAACAGCCCTTCAACCGACTCAATCCAGTCCAATGGCTGGAGACCAATCTCGTCAAAGGATGGCAGATGACTTGTGTCATCGTCGTTCTCATCATCGTCATCGACTCGATTGAAGGCGTTCACATCATCAACCTCATCGGATTGCACCCTTTCCTCAGAGCCCCGACTTCTGGTGGCATCACCTTTGGCTCCTCCTTTATGAAACCACAAGCCATTGAGGAGCTTCGCGTACTTGGACGCAATGTGGTCGGTATCGGTCGCTGCAGTTTCTAGAACTCCTACAAATCGCCGCATCAGGCTGGCAGTCTGGGCGTGCTTCCCAGACGAAATCGCGCCGGCGGCATGGGCTTTGTAGAGAAACACAGCTGAGTGGATCTCGTATCTGATCTCACAAGTCAGTTTCGACCTTGGAGCTGGAGAGGCTGGCGGTTCTGCACTTACAGGTAAAACCGAGCTGGCATGTATCGCAGGTGTCTCTCCGGATCAATGTCTTCAATTGCAATCCTGAGCAGTGCCTCTGCAGCATCAACAGCCTCATAAACCATTCGTGCATCCGGGCTTGCCATGGCAGAGTGGGGAAAACACGAGACTCTCGCCACGTCCATTCCAGACAACGATGCTCTGTAGAGGACAGCTTGAAAAGCAAATGCGTTCACGTAGAGACGTAGGTACTTTTCCATCATTCTTAAACAGCACTTGAGGTGGGAGGGAGCCGTCAATTGAGTCCAAACCAAATCCCAGGCAACGATAGCGCGACTGGCATCATCAATGTACTTGGTGTAGTCCCCACGAACCATGAGCTCAGCAGTCCGTTGCTTCGAAGCAAATAAGATGTCGTGGGCGTTGCCGAAGAGAGTAGTGAGCTCAACCTGCGCTTGAAGCAGGGACGCAAAGTCGTCTCCAGATGCATATTGAGGCTGAAGGGAGGGGAAGTCCTCCGCGGTGAACCGAGCTGACAATGCAGGGCCACGAGACCAGAAAGCCTGGCCCATGCGGATAGATATCTGTCGGTCGGACAGGTAGGTAACTGAACGAAAGCTTGTAAGCAGAGCGTCTCTAGTCTCGCGAGGTGAGTACTTACACGTCCAGGCAAGACGCCTTCTAAGCATCGCGGGGTCAGCCTCTTTGTCTGCCCGAAACGAGCTCTCTTCCAACCGTAGCAGATACGCAAGCCGAACGCCCAAGCCGACTATAGACCAAGCAGCCCCTTCGCCTCCATCATCATTCTGTCCGAGGGTGAGGGGCGTCCACTCTCCCAGCAATAAGAGACCCTCTACGCAGCCGACGCTGCGGATCGTGGACATTCCTAGCACAACATCGAGTATCAGGTGTCGCATATGGGCCCATATTGATTGGTGTAGCTCTGCCAAATCTGATCGATCCCGCGAAGCCACTACGAGGGCCGCCGTGAGGAGAAAAGACTCGTGTTTTATCGTCTCGTGAAGGTATTGCGGGAGGAGAACTTTGGATGGCACTATCGGGAAGTAGGGATGGTAATTAGTTGCAAAGCTACACATGTCAGCGATGCTCATGCGAGACAAGCAATTTCAACTCACTGTTGTAACAGATGGTGTAGAAGAGGCGCATCCAAAGCGCCATTCTTGACTGGTGGGTACTCCCCAATATCTCGCTCGATAGTTGCTGGATTTACCGGAGAGCCGAATGGCAACAACGGATCTTGGCGAGTCTGTTGAACCGGTGAAAGTATCGAGCCTAGGGCTGAAGATGCGTTGCCGGGAGTCGAGTCGGCGGGGTTGTCCAAGGGAGGCCCGTCACCTTCTTCATCCTCGGCTGCTCGGGCGAGTATGAGTAGCGCATCGGAGGGGTTCTGAAGGGATCGATGCAACGGCTCTTCCCGGACTCTCGGAGTTTCTGCCACGGACTCTGGAGCAGCGAAGGATGCCGTTGGTGTTGTTGAGATTGCTGGATGAATATCACTGTCTCGTCGTTGTCTTTTGCTGCCCCGGTACTGTGAGAAGTCACCCCCGCGCCGAGAGCCAGCGAGTGAGCATTCGGCTCCCTCGCGGACGCATTTTGCGCATGGCGGCTTCCCGCTGTCTCCAATACTATTTATTACTTCTTATTAGCCCAAGGGAGGCCAAGAATGAGAATAATTTTGGGCTTGAACAAGATTCTAAGGAATGATGTCCTTCTCGAGATGGCTCAAACGGAACGCGTTGTAACTGCTGCAAGAAAGGTGACCCACAAGTCGCACCGCGTCTTCCGAGCGCGGCATCTCACACATGCTCGGTATTGTCTGACTCCGGTAGCTTTCGTCATAGCTTAGGTCCCGTCCGGGGAAGAGATGGGGTGGCAGATGTGAAATCCTGGGGTTGCTCGTACGAGGGCTGCGGGGGCCCAGAGACGGTTTTAGACGGCTGATGACCGGCTATAGACGACTATGGATGGCGGGGTCACAAAGTGGCACGCGGGGTTCGGCAATAGACGGCGACGGTCCTATGCCACCACCATTCCAATGTCGCCCTTCGTTACTTGCAGACGTGTGAGGGGTCGACGGGAATAGCTAAAGTCAGAACTGAAGATGAGTGGTAATCATGAGCCGGTGCTCCGATTGGCCTGCCGACGAGTTGTCTATTATAAAGAACAGTATGGATCCAAGTCGAGGCGTCCTCCGACCTATGTTCGACTTGGTTGTTCTGTTATGTGCCTAGTTTGAAACATCTTGGAATCTTTCACGACGACAACTTCTAGAATCTACGAATCCCTTACATCACTCATTCTCTGCTGTCATTATGGCTCCCGGGATCCTTCAGTCCGAATCTCCAACATTGGCCCCAGCGACCCTGCCTCGGGAGACGCTGAAGCCAAGCAAGAATGCATCCGCCAACTCTACAGATGATATCTACGGCAACTATTATCCTGCCAATCCAGAGACCCTCAGTCTGGAGTCCAATTTTGGCCCTATGGATCCCACGACCATCGGCTATCTTCAACCGACCGCTGCTGATACCCCCATTGATATAGTGCGAGAACGCTTCGAACGTGATGGGTACCTTTTTGTGAGTTATGACGGTGCTGAAAGTCAGCTCAGGTTTGCTAACAACGATTAGATCAAGAACCTTCTTCCACACGAACCCGTCCTCGAATGTCGCCGAGCTTACTTCGACCATATGAGCCCAAGCGGCCTCCTTGAACCAGGTAGTGAGCCAGTCAACGGCACATTTTCAGGAAAGGACACTCGCAAATACCTCCCACCCGGAAATCTCCGTCGCTTGTTCGGATTGAAAGATGACGCCGAAAGCGACAAGTACGCCGAGCTTATGGTCACGGCGCATGAAGCCGACTTTTACGTCAACTTCTGCAAGTTCCCAGAGCTCCGCGAGTTCGTCAGTCGCTTCACCAACTGGCCATCCCCGCACATGCTCCAGCGAACGATGCTTCGCGCCTTCGTCCCCAACAGTGAGCTTACGCCCGTACATTTTGATCAAATGTATCTCCGAGCTGGACCGCCGACAAGCTTGACTGCGTGGGTTCCTATTGGACCCGTGTCGCTCGAGGGAGGCGGCTTGATGTACCTCGAAGGTTCGACCGACATTGGTATGAAGACTGAAGATGACTTTGCTGCGCATTCTCATAATCTTACCGACGAGGAAAGGGTGAGCGCCTTCAATAAGAACATGAATGACGGCGGCTTCCTGAGCAGAGACACTGTGTCTTATGGGAAGGAGACGAAGAGGAAATGGCTGATTGCCGAGTATGAAACTGGAGATGTCATCTTCCACAACCCTTACATGGTGCATGCAAGCTGCAAGAACAAGGACCCCGACTCGAGAATCCGTCTGGCTACGGATCTGCGATTCGTTGATCCCGAGAAACCTTATGATAGGGTGAGCTCTCCGAACCCCCCGTGATCGCGACCGCGACTAACACGCCACAGCGCTGGATGAAGGTATATAAGCCGCTTGATGGATTGTAAACATTGGGTTTGGAGGAGGGCACTGTAGAAGCTCACAACATGTAAACTACTTTTTGGGCATTGCTCTCTAGCATAACAATTTGACATCATCCATGCGATCTAATGCTCTTGAACTCTTTGCCCACTCAAGTCGATGCATCTCCCACTGTAAGGGAGCTCAAGTCGCAAAGCGCGTGTTCAATCAATTGTACCCTTCTGGGCAAAACGTATCCTCAACAGAATCACCATCGTAGTGGTTTCTTGGACTGCGATTGAAGGCCCTGTGGTCGGTACAACCTGGTATCTGGGTTACTACTTGATTCCTTGCTACATTTGCCATCGCCAGCGTACCTCAGCTCTGGGTCCAAGTTTCCCAAGCCGCTCATTTAGTCCTACACCAAGATATGCTCCACGCAGGGGAACGCCAAGCAAGGTCTTCCAAGTCGTCCTCGCGTGGCACGCCACGTCCATCTACAGCCGACGCTAAGTGACCTAGTCATCAACTAGATTCTGACTCGCTGTAGGCGCCAACACCCGACGTGTCTCTGGAGCTTTCAGGACGTGACCCCCTGTTTCCCTGTAGACCCTTCCCCAGTACCCCGGATTTGGGGTTGCGGGGTGAAGGGCTGGGGTAACAAATGGGTGCAGTAGGGCGCGCTGCTTCGGATTTTGCCCCGAGGTCCATGCCAGTGACCTCCGTCTATTGCCGTGGACGTCGAGCGGGAGTGTTGACATGACAGGATGCGAATACGCAGTACGAAGAGTCTCAAAGTACTTATTTGGGCCATCCGAACATGATTTTTCGCATTCAATGAGACGAAACATACATCAGCCGGGCTTTAGAACTGGCAACTGCATCTTTGGACCGGAAGCACAATCACGATGGGCATCTTGCAGAAGATCGTTCGCAATGAAGCGACAAGAAACGATCCTCCCGAGATATACAATGCCCGGGTCATTCTCATCAGCTTAGTCGTAAGTTACTTCTACTCAACGGCCCAAAGATGGCAAGGCACTTACAGAGATCACCCATAGGCTTGCGGCGGTGCTCTCCTATTTGGTATGGATATGGGCATCATTGGAGGTGTCTTGACTATGGACACATTCAAGAAGTGAGTTGACGGTGATCACCACAATCTTGTATTCCTATTTCTTGGCTGATTATGCGCCCCTCTAGGCAATATGGCCTCGAGAATCAACCCAAGACCGTCCTAGCAAACCTTGAGTCCAACATCGTTTCTGTCATCCAAGCCGGAGCTTTCGCGGGTGCCTTATTGTCGACTTGGCTCGCTAACAGGGTCGGTCGACGATTCTCTCTTATTATCGCCTCAGTACTTGTTTTTATCGGTGTGGCACTTCAAGCCGCCGCGAGTGGTCATATCGAAGCCATGTACGTGGGCAGGTAAGCAGACGATACATAACGCAATCCAAAAGTCTCGGCGCTGGCGAATTAACTCATCTCATAGACTTGTTGCCGGGATCGCGATCGGAATTGCTTCATCTGTCAACCCGCTTTACGTCTCCGAGAACGCACCGCGGGGTATCAGAGGTCTGCTCACTGGGCTATACCAGCTCAGCATTGTGACTGGACTGACAGTCGGTCCACCCTTGCCTACGATGCGTATGCAACTAGACCTTGATGCTAATGTGAATGTCGATTAGCTTGCATTCTGGATCAATTATGGCTCGCTCCTCCACATCAAAGGCCATACACAGTACATCATTCCACTCTCGTAAGTACCACATCTTGACATGGACAAGTACATCCTCTGACAACCCCCAGACTCCAAGCATTCCCGGCCGTCATCCTCTTCATCGGCATGCTTCTCGCCAACGAATCTCCCCGTTTCCTTGCCCAGCGATCTCCCGACAAAGCACTGGCGGTTCTCGCAAAGCTCCGAAATCTACCGGCCGATCATCCATACATCCAGCAAGAGATGGAGGGCATCTCCCGGCAACTCGAGGAAGAGAGGGCCCTTTCTCTCAACGCCAATCACTTCACGCTCCTGAAGGAGGCCTTCACTGTCAAGTCCTACCGCAGACGCAGCATGCTGTGCATCACACTTATGATGTGGAGCAACCTCACAGGTACCAATGCAATGACATACTACTCAAGTCGAATTTTCGCCAGTGTCGGGTTGACGGGATCTTCGACCGGGCTCTTTGCGACTGGCGTGTATGGTATTGTCAAGATGGTTGCCTGTACCGTCTTCATCGTATTCGTCACGGACTCGCTCGGCCGAAGGAAGAGTCTGCTCTGGACTGGAATCGTTCAGGTAAGCCCGAGCACCAGATACAAATGCCAACATGGAGACACTTTACTAACACAGCACTTTCTAAAGGGAATCGCTCTCTTCTACGTTGGCTTCTATATCCGCTTTGACCCGCCCATCGCCGGTGAGCCCGTCACCGCTCCGGGTTACGTCGCTCTGGTAGCCATCTACATATTCGCTGCCACGTACCAGTTCGGATGGGGCCCTGTCGTATGGACGTACAGCTCCGAGATCCCTCCGGCCCGCCTCCGCGCCGTCATGATGGGCATGGCGACAGCAAGCCAGTGGCTCTTCAACTTTGTTGTCGCTAAGGCCACACCGAGCATGTTTGCCACGCTCGGTGAGGGCGGGTTTGGAACGTACTTTGTTTACGGCACATTTTGCTTCATCATGGTGGTGTTTGCATGGTTCTTTGTGCCCGAGACTGCCGGTGAGTTTGACGATAACCTTGGTAGAGTTGAATATGTGATACTAATCTTTCACAGGCATTGCATTGGAGAAGATGGATGAGCTATTTGAGAACGATTCGTTGAAAGACAAGCTCATCTGGAGAAAGAGACCCCAACTGAGCTCCAGAGATAGCACGAGTGAGGAAAGGGCGATGGATAAGAAGGATGCTGAGCATGTTGAAGTTGTTTGAGCCAATGTGTGTTCACGTTCGTAGGGCAGCTAATGCAATCAAAGTTATTCATCATGACAATGAGATGTATCATCAATATGATTCCTTCACTCGAAGACTGGCTTAAGCTCTTCCACTTCCAACACTTTCTGAATCCCAGCCAACTTCTCCACCTTCTTTTGCAAGCGCTCAAAGTTGGGATATTCGCCCAAGTCGGTCATGTACACTGCCGACCGCCGGAAATAATACATATACATGTCAACCACCGTCAAGTCGTCACCTACAGCCCATTCACGCCCTTCCAGCCTGGACTCAATTCTTTGAAAGCACTCCAGGATATGCTCCCACCCCTTCTCCGCGACCGCCTTGCGAGCCTCCTCGCCGTCAGTGAACCGGTACGGCCTCGCACACGCCGCGAGACTCGCGCCGAGGAACGTCCCGCTCAGCCAGTTCGTCCACTCATTCACCTTTGCGCGGTCGAGGGCACTGGAGCCCAGGAACTTTTCGGTTTGCTCGGGCGGGGCGATGCACGCGATGTAGGTCAGGACGGCCGGGAGCTCTGTGATGACTTCGCCGCTGTCGAGGACGAGGGCCGGGACGTAGCCTGAGGGATTGATTTTGCAGTAGTCCTCGTGCGTGAAGCTGCCGTCTGCGGCCTCGAAGCGCTTCTCGGCGTTGGGTCTCAATTTGACGGTCTTGAAGGGGATGTCGAGGTGGTAGAGGAGTGCGTGGGCTACGAGGGAGCATGAGCCGGGTCTGTAGTAGAGAGTGATTGTAGGGGATGACATGATGAAAGCTCAGTTGTCTGTTGGATTTGTGTGCTATTATTTGTAAGTGACGATGTTTCCATGTCGACTGAAGTGCTACACTCACTCGTGCTATAAGGTGTTTTTACTTCACGTACTTGATCAAAGAGGATGGGAGAATTGACGCCCTTGAAGCGACAGTCAGCGCGGGGTTGATGTAAATGGTCAATCTCTCATGCTTACGTAGCCACATTCGCTGACGGGAATCCTTGCTGGGCTTAACATCAGGCTGGGATGTGATTTGGCAATTCTTCAGAGAGTGAGTCTTATCGTCAGGGGAAGCGTCCAAACCGGGCAGGACGGCAACAAAATGCGACAGTCAGATGGCTGCCTAGAAGAAGGGACTTTCGTACTTGTTCGTTGATTGCGACGTGGAACGTTTTGCCTTCCCTCTTCAAAGTGGCGATAATGAATAAATGAAGAGACCATCAATCCTAGTTACAAGTTGGGCCCCGCAATGAAGGGAAAAGGCACATTTTCGGTGATGGGGATAGCCTCAAAAAGCGCAAGTCAAATCCTGCGAGAGTGCACAATCGCTGTGGGGGCTCATATAAACCTCGGCTCAATCGAAGAGGGCAACTAAGAAGGTCGGGGCTTGGTTAGAAAGACAGTATCGAGTACTCGCACGTTGATAGTAAAAGATCGGGATGAGTGACATATCATGGGTTTGCGAGTATGTTACTGGGGAAGCTTATGATATGCTAACTGGATATTCTGAGAACACCACTCGTTTTCAAGACCAGGTTAGCTCACCGAGAAGGTTACCAGAAGTGTCAATTTGCAACATGGATCATTGATTAGACGCGGTTATGATGCGATCAAACCATAGAAGCACATGAGTCCAGTAACGATCTTGATTAGAGTATAGGCATTCACAACGGGTTGCAAATGGCGCGTAGAGTCGAGATCAATCGAGGTTGAAGAGTGCAAAGTTCCACCACTTGCGAGAACCTCTCGCAAGATCATGTACTCTCGGCGCGATCATCCGAAAGATCACGTACGGCAACCAGTAAGAGTGCTCCTAAATGGCGCAGTCGGGACCAAAGATGCACGCAATCAGGCTTGAACTACCATGCCCCCGAAGATGAGGAAACGTGGTTGGCCTTTTCGGGACTCTTCGCCCACGATGCGAATATGGAAGTGGTACAGCAACAGCCACTAGAGAGGCGGGATTGGCGCCATGTGCCTGGCCTGGTGGCGGGGAGATTCTCCCGCTGTTCGGACCAAAAGAAGGCCTTATCTGTGGTCGCATGCAGTAGCAGTTGTATCGGGCGTCGAGATCAGACGGAGGACTACGGCCCTGCATCGACTTTCGGGCAGAGTCGGTGGCATTGGGTGCCGTAGAGTGGCAGAAGAGAAGGAAAATGGCTCAGATGTTGTGCGATGCCGTTCGGCCTGATGTGATGGATTGGGCGGTCACTGGTGAAGCTGCTTTAGAGAGCGTCGGTTAGTGCAGCCATGAGCACTACGGCGTAATAGAGAGAATGGCCGAGAGAGACGGGGAACCAACCTCTCGGCGTAGCCTGGTGGAAGCTGGGTCTAGGCCCGACGAGGAGTGAAGATGGGATGAAGATATGGGGAGGACGAGATAGCAGACCCATGGGGTTTGTGGATATGCTGGGCAGAGCGCGAAGAGCTTTGAGACCGGTCTGGGCGTCGTCTTCTGCGGGCCGTAACGCACTAGGAAGTGAAGCAAAAGAGTTGCATGTCTACACCTGTACAGACTTTTATCTCGTTTGCGGCTTCTTGGCTGAATTCTGGACGACGAGATGAGGGGGGGGGGGGGGGACGCTGCGTGGTTGCGTCACAAGCCTGAGAACCCGCGCGTCTCGCCGCCGTGCCAATGTCCCCACCACAACCAGAGAATAAGGGGATGAGTCGAAGTCCCCCGCGGGAACTGGGTCTCACATCTGGGCCCCACCCGCGTGGCCAGGGGTGGGGAGGGGGGGGGGGGGGGGGGGCACTCGTCAGTTGCGTTCCAAAGCTCTGAAGCTCCAGCTGTCTGTGCCATGGCAAAGTTCCAACTCGATACAGAGCATAAAAGGCTGATAAGAGATCCTCCTAAGGTACTGGGTATCACAATTGTGAGCCCGATCCGATGACATGGGGATGGACGTGCTCCTCTTCCACTGTACCATCCGGGAATGGCCTACGCGGGTTCCTGTTTCTGGAGAGGGAACGGAGCGAGGCCGGCGGGCGATAGGTAATGCAGGTGAAGAGGGAATTGGCCGAGGGTGCATGATGGCATCTCCAGGCGCCGTAGTCTGCATTCTGCATTCTGCAGGCTGCAAGAAGTCATGGTTGCCCAGCCGTTGTTGGTCTAGTGGTTCTGTTGGAGTCTACTTCGTCGTTGACTCTCATGCATGGAATGAAGAGAGTTGACCCGTCTCGAAGCACGTTTCTCGTCAAGCCATCCAGTCATTGCTCATCCATGAGCCAAGCCGTGGTCACTGGAAACGCGAGTTGCATATTGGGGAGGACGTTTAAAAAGGCGGTGGAACCCAGCGTGCTTGATGGTGGCCCCGGAATGGGCAGAATTGGATCACCATTCTATACACAGCATTCACAGTTCCGAGCGGGTCTATTCCTCTGCAGCTCTGAATTGAATCCAGCAGGTGAGTGGTTGCGTCCGGTCACGATCTCACTTGGTCTCTGTGCCGTCCGACGTGGCCTGATAGAGATAGACCAGACTTTGTGGTCTGCCTTTGCCTTTTGAAACGCATCAGTCAGTCCAGTGCAAGTCGGAGTCGCATTGCAGCAGCCAGCTTGAGGGAAGCCAGTTGTTTCGTCGCTCAAGGCGTCCTAGCCCGCATTCCGCGCCGCTCACCGTCTTTTCGGAAACCAAAACAGAGCAGAGCAGGCGGTTAGAGTTATCAACCCCGAGGCCGGAACACGCACGGGAAACGTTACGGTTACCGAAGTCTGTACACAAAGTACGCTTCAGCTTTGAGGCAACTTTATTGCAGAGTACAGAGTATCCGTAGAGAGCCTCACTCGAGTCACTATTTTGGCACTGGCCACTGAGTAGCAGAATAGGGGGCAAATAATTACCTCGAATTACGTCAGGTGGGTCATAACTTTCCACAGTTTACACAGTACAGGTAGTATAGAGTCCTTTGCATCAAGCAATGTTTGACCCGAATTTACGGCGGCTCTGTCATCGTGTTCTGATGGTGTCTGCGCCATCCGGGATGACCGCGGCGGCAGCTCAACGTGGCTCTCCCAGCAGGACGGGCACTATCAGACGGTGGCGGGGATGGCTTCAGTTGGGGACCAGCCGCGGGTTTAGTACCGCAGTAGGCTGGTAGAGAATAGGATAGTGTCCGGTCTGTCAGTCCAGCGGCCAGTTCCAGTGGGCTCAGCTCAGCTCACGCCACGAGATGATGAGATGCTAAGTTGTAGCCTGGCGTCCTTTTCTCGGCTCACAATGTGTTGTCTGGATGCTGCTAGTGCAAAATCCAATCAACTGGTGAGGGCCGAGAAGTTTGTGGGCTATGGACGGGGGGAAGGATCATTACTCAATCCCGCTATGGTGTTGTTTTGGGTCAATTATTGTATCTTTTTTGTTTGATTCTTTCCGATCCCCTGAATGCTTTTACGTACTTGGACCGTATCCCGTTTCCCACCGAGATTTCTCCATGTTTCCATGTTTCTACACTGTAATTGTGGAAGACTTGTTGGAGGGTCCGAACAATTGGGATATTTGAGAGATGCAATTTGGGTTGCATCACAAAGACATCATAGGGCACACAGACAACGGCAAGCAATGCAAGGTGTCACAAAGCACGGAGCTTAGAGCAGACAGAGACAGCGGCATCGACCAGGGCACATCCCACCATCCAAAGAGCCCATCAACTCGGGACCATCTCCGATTACCATGGACTTAAGACAAGATAGACAGCACCGGTACTCTAAAGCTGGCCCTGATGAACAGTATGGAGCACTCGATAGACCGGAGGCAATGACAGAACAGTTATTGGATCTTTTGCTTCTGATGGCCCCTTTTCGGAAGCATTGAGCCAATCCCGCCATAAACAATTCGTCCCATCCGAACCAGGCGAGTGGCCTGGCAGGGGGAGGGGGACTAAGTCCAGGTAACGGGCGAGTCGCGAGGAGGTATTCTCGGTGTATCCCGCCGCGTCGAAGGGGTGTGGAGAGACTTATGACGCAGCCATTTCCACTTGGTCTGTTACATGTTCAAGACCTTGGTCAAGATGGTCGTGGTTGTGTCTGTCTCCACGCCCAATCCCGGAACGATTCTTCCCCCCCCCCACCTCCATGATCCATCTCTGATCTCTCTCCTTGGAGTCTCCTGGTACGGACAGGTACCTAGTTATCGAGTTCTGGTCTGGCAATGCTCTGGGCGCAGAGAGGAACAAGCTGGAAGACGCCAGAGCTTGACCACGGTATCCTCCAGAGTCCCAGCATCTGCCAGGATTATGCAGCACCAAAATAGACAGTGGACGCTACGGAGTACTGTCTAATAGTACAATAGCGGTAGAGGCCGCAGTGACATGTGCTGCCCCTCGATGTCGGTTCAACACTTTGAGCATCTCGATTTGGGGTATTACTCACCACTATTTTTCAGCTCCGAGACACGGACAGTCGGCTAGGCGACCACTTCAAATGCTCAACTCTTGTTGAATTGTCTCTTTCATTATCAATCTGATCTCATCATCCAGCACCTAGTTGCAGAGAGGAGAAGAGAGAAGAAGAGACAGTGGGAAAGAAGAAAGAGGCCCCTGACGCAACGGTACAAGCCTCTACCAAGCAATACGGCGGCATTGGCATCATCCACCAAGGCCAATCATTGAGCTCATGAGAAAGCAGCAGTGGGTTCTGCGGTGCTCAGGCCGTGGTCTGTCAGTCTGCGATCCCTGGTGCCGCTCTTTTGTGTTTTCTGGAGACTTTTTCTTGGAGACTGGCCTGGGCCGGAGAAGACCATCCACCCACCACCCATGCTCACTATGCTGGTAGTGTTGTAGACTTGAGAAGAGAGTGAGAGGATAGGAGCAAAGCGTCCTGCAGCTGTCGTACTCTCTGATACCAAGTATCTGTTGCGTGTGTTTAGTGCTGAAAGGTACTTTGAATAATCCCTTCCATCGTATCACAGCACCAACGTTATTATTATTGTTACCATCCAAGAATACATCAAGAGAAAATCCCAAGAGCGAGAGAATACCCACCAAGAGGCATACGCGGCATTCTTTTCTGTCCATTGCTTGCATTGCTTGCATTCAACAGACACATTCCATCCAGGCTTGGAATTCACCTCCTTCAACTCCGTACCCCGGCTCAGAACCCCCACCACCTTGCGTCTCCCCCGTCACTCTGAACTCACCGTTGGATTGGTTTGGTTTGCCATCAGATCAGATCAGATACGGTTGCTTCCAGCTTGACTGACAATATCGTCTGGTTGCTTACTGCTTGCTGTGTTGCCCTGGTCTCTGTCTGGTCTTGGTCTGGATGTTCGGCTCGGCTCTGCTTGCTCTCTACACTATCCGGAAAGACTGTAGCTATTGTCTCTGGTCTTGTCTCTGGTGTATTCCTCTCCATTGCTGCATCCCTCCCCCGTATTCCGTCTTGCGTCTCCAGATCCCCCGGTCCAGCCCCAGCTCAGTCAGGTCCAGCCTCCAAGCGGTCAACCGTCGTCTTTTAGTCTGTCTTTGTCCGTCACTTTCTGAGCCTCTAGTCCTTCCCGTGCTTGCTCTTTCCATCCATCCATCCTTTTACTTTTCTTCCCTTGGTCACATTCTCATCTTTACATACACCTTTGCCTTCTCCTCCACGACTAGACGCAGCATCACCACCTTCACTTCATCTCAATCCTGGTCATACGTAGGGTGACATTTCCCACTTGAGGCTCGTCTGAATCTTCTGCCCGTGTCCCCCCTCTCGGCCTCTTTCTCGTCTCCCCCTGTTCCTTGGGACAGCCGCTAAGCCAAACTCTACACGTTCCCCGGCACACCACACTCAGCACCACCACCCACCTCTTTCGAGAGAAGAGCAGCAAAGAACAGAGACGGGAACAGTGTAAAGAGACTGAAGAAGAGAGAAAAGACGAGTCATGGAGCAACACTCCCCCGCGCCAGAGTCGACGGGCGTCAACCCCGCCAACCCCGTGCTGCGAAGCATCGCCCTGTCGGACGCCGTGACGCCGGGCATCCACCAGCACACGTACAACTCTGCCGACAGCTCGCGCGCCCAATCGCCCAGCGGGAACAGCTACTTTCCTCCCTCCAACTACACCACCCACGACTCTCACCACCACCACCACCAGACTTCCTCTCAACAACAACCTCCCACGAGCAGCAGCAACAACATCACGAGCAATCCCACTTCGTCTCCCGCAAACACAGCTGCCTCAAATACCTCCAAAGTCCCTCCGTCGCCAGGCCCCGGCGACATCCTCAAGCGCATGACCCTCGCCGCCATGGGCCGTCGCGAGTCCCTCTCCCAGATTCGCAGCGCCAACCCAGACCTGCAGCTGAGCGGCAACATCATCTCGGCCACCTTCAACATTCCCCATTCCCTCAAGTACCGCAAAGGTTCCGACTGGGTGAGTTCACGTCTCTATCTCTGCTGTTCAAAAATCCCCTCAATTCGCGATCCTTCACCAGGACAACCCCGCTGACATCATCGCCATCGCAGGAATTAAAGGCGCGCCGCGGCCAATCCGCCCTCTTCGACTCCTTTGCCTACCTCTCTTCCGACGAGACCCCCTGGAACCACACCGTCGTCGCCTGGACCGGCGAGATCGATACCCCCCAAGACGTCCTGTCGCCGCCCGGCACCCCGCCCGCTACGACTGTACACTTCTCCTCCCTCAACACCTTCTCCGCGCCCGTCCCGATCGATGGCGATGCTCGCCTGCCCACGCCGCCTCCCAGCGAGGGCCTCTGGCTTCCCAAGGAGGACCAGGCCCGCCTCGAGACCCAGCTCGCCCATAGCAAGACCATCAAGACGGTGCCCGTCTGGCTCTGCGACGACGAGGAGCAGCAAGAAGCGGGC